GCTTATGTGTGCTCTCTCTCCCTCTCTGACAAATAAATAAATTAAAAAAAAGAATTTTAAATTACTCAGAGAATCAGGAAGAAAGGAGGGAATGGGGAAAGGAAGGAGGAGAAAGAAGGGAGGAAAAAGCAAGAGGGAGTAAGGACGGTCATGTGGTAAAATATTTTAAGAATTGCTCAGCGTGGAAGGGAATCAACATGCAAGCCAGTTGCTTGCTCGGTTAGCCCTTGGATGTTTGGGGATTTCAGAAGGGTTCTCACCATTCTGAGGATTGGTGGGGATGGGTCACTGTGCTTGGACTGCGCAGGTGCATGGTTTGTGCTGGGTACCTGCTTTCCTTCTGAGAGTCTGCAATGTTGGTGAGTGCTGAATGGAAGGTGCCTCTGTAGCCAGTTCTCAGTAAAATCCCTGGGCACTAGGTCTCTGGTGAACTTTCCTGATAGACAGTATTTCACATGTGTTGTCCCAACTCACTGCCAGGGGAATTAAGTATGTCCTGTGGTCTCCATTGGGAGAAGACCCCTGGAAGCTTGTGCCTGGTTTCCTCCAGACTTATTACCATGCTTTTTTCCCCCTCATTGCTGAGGCTTCATATCCTTTCACTGTAATAAGTCTTATTTGTGAATATGACCATATGCTGAGTCCTGAGTCCTAGGGAATCCGCATTCCTCCACCCAATGAGAACACACTGTACACATCGTTTCACATTTTTGCTTTTCACATATAAAATATTTCAAAGACAGTCTGCATCAACATTCATAGATCAAAATCCTTTTCATGCCTGCATAATATTACCTATAGTGTATTAGGATTATATATCCAGACCCTAATTAATGGACCTTTAGTCATTTTTAGTCTTGCTATTACAAATAATGAGGCACCAAACATCCCTATACATGGATCTTTTTGTACATTCATAAGTATTATCAGCAGGTTAAATCTTTAGAAGAAGAATTCTTGGGCCAAAGAATATATGTACTTTACTCTTTCATAGATATTATAAAATGTCCACCCACTAAAGAGGTTGTATGAATTTTTACTCCCACCAACATGTAGGAAATGCCTGTTTCCCCCACAGCATTACGGTTAAATAGAATTTCTTTACTGAATTTCCTTCCTGAAAAGTCACCTTCTTTAGACGCATAGTTCTATGGATTTTAACAAATGTATATAGTCATTTAACTACCATCACAATCAAAATATAGAGTATTTCTATCATCTCTGAAAGTACCGTTGTGATCTTTGGTAGTCAGTCCTCTGTCTCTGAACCTCGACCCACTGATCTCATTTCTATCCTTAGTTTTGCTTTTTCTAGAATATCATGTAAATGAAATCATACAGTATATAGCCTTTTGAGTCTGGTTTCTTTCGCTTAGCATATGCTTTTGAGATTCATCCATGTTGTTGTAATTCTCAGTAGTTTATTCCTTTTTTGTTGCTAACTAGAATTCCATATGGCTGTGTCATAATTTAGGTATATTCACTAGTTGATGGGCACTTGGGTTATTTTGAGTTTTGGGTAGGCATATGTCTTAATTTTCCTTGGATAAATGCCTTACGAGTGGGATTGCCTGGTCATATGGCAAGTGTATGCTTGACTTCATGAGAGGCTGCCAAACTCTTTCCAAAGTGGGTGTGCCATTTTGCATCGACAGCAACATATGAGAGTTTCAGTTACTCCACATCCTTGCCAACATTTTGTTGTTGTTGTTGTTGTTGTTTTTAATTTTGGCCATTCTAATAAGTATGTAGTAATGTTATACATTTATCAAAGTAAAAAAAAAACTTTGCTATCTTCGGTAAGTGATAAAAGCAATCTCATTTTTTCATTTACATTTCTTTAATTAAGGGAAATTAGAAGACACTTAATATGTTAAGAATATATATTGCTCTTCAAATTGCCTATTCAGGTATTTTTCTATTAGGTAGGTTGATCATATCCTTTTTTTTTTTTTAATTTTTTTAAGATTTTTTATTTATTTATTTGACAGACAGAGATCACAAGTAGGCAGAGAGGCAGGCAGAGAGAGAGGAGGAAGCAAGCTCCCCACTGAGCGGAGAGCCCAATATGGGGCTCGGTCTCAGGACCCTGGGGCCATGACCTGAGCTGAAGGCAGAGGCTTTAACCCACTGAGCCACCCAGGCGCCCCGGTTGATTATATTCTTAATGATTTTAATGACTATATATTAAGGTAACCAAATGGTTCATAGTTGTTGTGAACATTTTCCTTAGTTTGTCAGGTTTTACTATGTTTATGGCATATTTTGCTGCAGAAATATTTTAATGTTTTATATTAAGTACATCTCATGGGTGCAAAGATGTGGAGGTAGAAATGAGAGAATTTATGAATGGCAGGTATAGAACACAGGGGACTATAAGTCTAGACAACCTGGGTGAGTCAATTTACCCAACCTTGACTGTGACCCCCAAACTAGTGATATATGGCCAGTACAGATTTTCTTAAGTCTGTCTCACTGGCTACAAAGAACCCAAGCTTATTGACAAATGCAGCTGCTTTGAAAAAGGGTAGAGTCCCAAGGGTGTAATTCTTCAATTCAGATGTGGAAGAGGATTCATTTAGTGAAAGCAATGTACTTATTGCAGAGACCATCAATACACGAGATTGTTATGCTTGTTGGCTGGGACACAGGGAATTCCTGTCTGCGGTCTCAGTGATATCATTTTGCTGGAAACAGCCCTCCTCCTTGCCAGCCCTATACTTGAATATGGAATTCCATGATGACCACAAAGACTTATTGTGCTCCATGCCGTCTATGGGCATAATAATGCAGGAGAGGCCAGAAGGGATATGGATGAGGAGGTAGATGGTATGGTGGGACAAAGTAAGGGGAAGGAGAGTGAGGAAGGGGACTCCTTTGCTTCCTTATTTGCCACACACAGAGCCCCTATGGGCATTTGATTTCTGCAGTCATTAACATTTTTAGAGTCAAGCATACCAAGTGAAAGTCAGTTACTTGCTGCTAATCTGAAAAGAGCATAGCTCACAGCAAGAGCTGTGGGGTGGGGAGCATGGGGTTGGCAGAATCTGATTTGGAGGAAGAGCTTGTTCTATACCCCTACTACCATTTCCACTGCCTGGTGTCTCTAGATGGGCTCCTCCCACCCAAAGCTGAATCTGTGAAGGGGTTCACTCAGGATCAGCTAGGCTACTTTGTTAAAATAAATGCACTCCTTTTCTAAAGAGCTGTGAACTGAGATTAACAATCTAATTAACATTTCAAAGACTAGGACTAAAATATCAAATAAAAGCAAATGACATCCTCTGAAGTCTGTGGTTCAAGAGATCAGTGGGACAAGATGTGGGTAATCCACTCAGCTATCCATCTCTACCTCTCTTTCCATTTCATCTTCCACCTTTCCCTTCCCCTCTTATTCAGTCTTCTTGCACAGTGTCCCCAAAGCCTGACTCAATTGTGTTTTCCCTCCCTCTCATTTGCCTTTTGCCCTTTAACTAACTGGTTATCATTGAGGCCTTGCTGCTTATTTTTAGTATTTGTGTATTTATTGACATTGTACTGACTTCCTTGACTTAAAAACACAGGCAGGAAAAAAACCCCACCAAATTAAACTGCTTTGTCCTCAAACTAGGCTCTGGATTTATTAATTGGAAAAATATGGGGGGGGGTGTGAGATGGAATAAGATCTTTCCATTTGAACAGAACTTGAGATTCTTTTGCACTGAATCTAGGAACAAAGCTGAGTCATTTCTACATGTCCCTAATCCAGAGCAATGGCTGAGGCAATGAAGTGGGCGTGAGAGATCTGGATTGCTGTTTGCAAGATGTATGACTTTGAGCAAGTCCCTTAACCTCTTGGGGAATTACAATCTCAGCTTCTGTTACTTAGCTCCAAGCTTCTGACTATCATGGACTGAAGACTCTATTTTAAAAGATACAACACTGTCTGGTATCATCTGTGACAACAGTCCTGACAAACCCTCCAGCCAAATCCCCAAAGTCAGTCACTTTTCACTTATGGATGTTGGGATTGGGTCCCCACATACAGCGCTATTACTATGTGCCAAGCACTGTACTAAGCTTCAGTCATGTGGTCCAAGATAGGGCAGTGGTTTAAAAGCCTGGCTTCTGTGCTTACTTCTACATCAGTATAACTCTGAGCAACTCCCTTAACCTGTGACTGAGTTTCCTCATCTGTAAAATGACAATGATGATGATGATGATAGTACCCGTAATTCTGACCTTGTTTAGAAAAGGGTCTTTACCAATGTAATTAAAGGTCTTAAGATCATTCTGGATTTCAGGTGGGCCCTAAATTCTATGACTAACATCCTGATGAGAGAAAAGAGGGAAATATGACATACACAGACATAGGGAGAAAGGCCATGTGCAGACAGTGATTAGAGAGATGCAGTCATAAGCCAAAGAATGCCAGGAGCCAGCAGAAGCCAGACAAGGCAAGAAAGGAATCATTTCCAGAGACTTTGGCCCTGTTGACACCTTGATTCTGGACTTCCAAAATCATGAGAGAATAAATTTCTGTTGTTTTAAGTCACCAAGTTTGTGGTAGTTTGTTGTGGTAGCTCTAGGAAGTTGATACAGACGATAAAAGTACATCTACCTCCCAGGAGGGTTAAATGAGTGGTTATATTTAAAGTTCTAACGGTACCGGGTGCCTGGGTGGCTCAGTCTGTTGAACATCTGCCTTCAGCTCATGTCATGATGCCAGGGTCCTGGGATCAAGCCCCGCATTGGGCTCACTGCTTAGAGGGGAGTCTCCTTCTCCCCCCTCTCTCTGTCTGCTGCTCTCCCTGCTTGTGCTCTCTCTCTCTCTCTCTCAAATGAATAAATAAAATCTTTTAAAAAAACGTGCTAAGAGCAAAATGTGGACTACAGTGAGGGCTCTTGAAGTATCGGCTGCTATGTATTGTTAGCTCACTGGATCTTACCTAGCAACCCTATGAAGTAGGTACTATTATGACTCCCATTTGCACATGGAGAAATGGAGGCTTAGAGAGGTTAAGCAAAGGTGAGATTGTCTGGACTCTGCTCTAGCTTGACCCACACTTCAGAAGTCCCTGGAGTTGAACTTTCTGCTCATGGATCCTGGTTGGCTTGGTGACCCCTCATGATGTTCTCTCAGCAAAGATTCTTTGGTACTGATCTACCAAGACCAGAAGGTATAGAGAAGACCTCCCATGTAGTGGTGTTTATTACTCCTGGATACATCTTACAGCCCTGGTCTTGGCACAGGCTCTGCTCCAACAGAATCAGGCTCTGTCTACACTTGGTTGTTTGTCCTATGACCTGACCTCAATGAGGTAGCCTCAGCACCTCATGACAACAGACAGGTGTATGCTGCCTAAAAGGCGCACCGCCCCCACCCCCCGCTGACTCCAGGGACTTCAAAGGCCCCTATGCTACTGAGTGTAGACTATACAAATGATTAGAAATAAGTCAGATCACTTAGAGTAAGGCAATGCCCTTGCTGGAACCTGCAAGGTCCTATAAGAAAGCAACCCGGTTACCCACCTGACCATCTTTTATCATTCTCCCCTGCATCACTCTCCATGAGTAATGACCTCATGGCCAAGTACTGTCCCACCTTAGGGCCTTTGCACATGTAGTCTGGTTGCCTTTAATGTTCTTGCCCAACAGTTATGCATGCTTTCTTTTTTACTCCCCTTGACTCTCATCAATATCACCACCTCAGAGAGGCCTTTCTGATTCAACTTATCCTTCTTCTTTACCTTTCCTGCTTTTTCCCCCTCCTTAACACTTATGATGTAACATGCCATAAATTTTACTTATCTTGCTTATTGTCTTTTCTTCCAAACTATGATATAAGTACCATGAGGATGGGGATGCTTATCTGTTTTGTTCACTACTATAGCTCAGAGCCTAGGACAGGACTAGTGAACAGTATAATGTATTCCCTAGATAATTGTTGAGTGACTAATTGAAAGAATGAGTGAAGCAAAGCCCCTCCTTGACAATAACTATGAAACTCTCCAACTGAAGTGGGTCAAGTCATGAAGTATCTAGAAGCAGCACCCAAAGAGAGAACTAGTGGAACAATTGAGCTTTGAAGCTTATGGAGGGAACATAACCTCTTATTGAGCTTGATTTTAAAGGAGACAAGGTGGGGGCGCCTGGGTGGCTTAGTAGGTTAAAGCCTCTGCCTTTGGCTCTGGTCATGATCCCAGATCCTGGGATCGAGCCCCGCATCAGGCTCTCTGCTCGGCGGGGAACCTGCTTCCCCCCCCCCCCCCCGCCTGCCTTTCTGCCTACTTGTGATCTCTGTCTGTCAAATAAATAAATAAAATCTTTAAAAAAAAATAAAGGAGACAAGGAAAAGGATGTGGTGGAGAAAGAGGGGAACAGACTTCTAAGTGATAGAGAAATCTCAGACTTCTCTGGAAAAATCAAAATCCAAAATTCATTTATTCATTCAACTGGGAACACAGCAATGACCAAATCAGCAATGACCAAGGGTACTTACACTCTAGTGGTCATCATGTCAGGCAGTATGATCTTGGAGAAAAACATCTGCTTATTGGAATGGTGAGATTGGAAGGGCTTATATTTCCAGAGGGCTGAGAGGTCTAGATCAGTGTGGCTTTCAACTGGCAGCCTGTAAGAAGCTATCTTAGATTCTTGATCTGGAAAAGCCCTGGGAAGGTCAGTTATGGGAGATTTCTGCAGCCACAGGAAGGGTGGATTCTTATAGGGAAGGGCATTAGAAAGGGTGAGGTCTGAGAAAGGGCTGTTGTACAGAGGTAGAGGTGACTGGAGGGGGTGATATCACCATAGAAGAGGGTAGGTCAAAGACGTCTGGAATGAACTGAGAAATTGAGAAAGGATCTTAAAGCCCCAGAGTGTTAGAACAATCTAAATGTGTGTCACCAAGAACAACTACTTAAGGGAAGGGAAGGAACAAGATAGGAGAGTTGGTGCAGGGACTTTGATGCCGGGATTTGGGACCAGATGAGGCCAGATTAGAACCAATCCCTAACTTCAGTGACTGTCCCATCACTGGCCTTTGTGAAGGCCCACAGGAAGGACCACAGTACTCTATTGCTGTTTACCCTCCAGCACTTGTCTGTGTTTGCTCTTCTCTGTGTGACAAGCCAAGCTTAGCCCAGATGTAACTGATCAAACTGGAAATGGTCTGAAACTAGTGAGTCATACAGGATCTGCAGAGTAAAACTTTCGTGATTTTTGCCTAAAACCTACCACACCTTTCAACACTCCAAATCTTCTTATTAATGTAGTAAAATTTTAAGATATTACATCTTTGGTATCATGAAGTGAGATGGCTGGGATTTCTCTGTTTGGCAGAATTTTGATCTTCCTTTTAATAGGATGCTAGCTGTAGATGTCAGGAGGGCTGTTTGTGTAAGAATCGAAAGATCATTTTTTCTTTTTTGTTCTTTTCCTCTGACATCGCTAATTGGCTTGAAATCAATCTGTTTTTACAAAGCTTGGGTTTCCTTCAGTTTTGTCTCTCAAGTGAAGAGCTGAACTTTCTACCTGACTCTCACCTTAAATAGAAACATTTTCTCGCTTGTCATATGAAAAGGAAAAAATGGGAGGGAAGCGGTAGTCTTGAATTCTTTAGTACAGTGAGACAATTCAAAGGAAGGCAAACACAACACTTTGCCATTACATATTTTGATAAAAAGTGTTCCTTGAAATTGTTTTTTGAAATGCCATTTCACATTGTGTGATAGAAACTGAATTTCTGTTATCCACCAGGTAAATGAAGGGCTTTCAGGGAAGTGGGGGAGAGAGAGTCACTGTGAATTTTCCGTAGCAATTTGACTGTTGCAGTCACAGCATCTGAAAGAGTTCTGGGGGCCAGAGAAGAGGGGGCAGTAACCTAAGTGGGTTCCCTTTTTATGAGCACATCCCAGCTACGTCCCCCGTGGATCCCCACATCTAGTGGTATGGCTAGTACCACCTCCTAAGAGGAGATTAAGGGCTTTTGAAAACTACCTGCCTTAAGCCATAGAAAACATGGTAATATTTTAATTGCTCCTCTCTGGTAATCTAGCCAGTTATATGAAAAACAAATTTAGTCATTATTATTTCATTTTTTTGTAATAAAGTTTTAAAAATTGTGTATGAGAAATTCTGAAAGTTTCTCGCTGATCTAAGTTTTTCTTGTCATATCTGTCATAAGAATATGATGAAAATCTTCAATATAATCTGAAAATATGGATGTCACTGCAAAAGCTGGGCAAATGTGGAAAAGTATATATCTACCTGTCCAGGAATAATAATGTAAGTAAATAATCTCATTAGGAAATGGAAGAGAGAGTCATGTCAGGCTGTTTCCCACCTCAGGGCTTTTGCAGCTGCTGTTCCCTCTTTCTGGAATGTTCTTACTCCTTCTCATGGCTGGTATTTTCTCATCATCCAGGTCTCAGTCAAATGTCGCCTTCTTGGAGAGGCTTTCCTGACCCTTAGTTGAATCCTCCAATCCCAACTCTGCTGCATATCCCATTCCTTGGTTCTAGTTCCCATGAAACTGTGTAATATCCCTTAGTTTAAATTTCTTCTTAGTATATATCATGACCTGGAGTTGCTGGTTTATGACTTCTGTTCTGGGTTATTTATCTCCCCAGCCAGATTGTGAACTCCAAAGAGCAGGGACCTTTTTGGTCTTTGTCACTACTAAGATTAGTGCCCAAATAGATGTGGAAGGAAAATGAGAGCAAAATTGTCATATATGAAAACTAAATAACTAAATAGATTTTTGGGGGGAACAGCTTGAGGGAGCCAAGCTTTCAGAATTCAGTTTAAATAGAAACCGCTGCAGTGTGCTGCCCTTGGTATTAGATCTGTAATCGTTCATGCCAAGTGCTGCTTGTAATGAGCTATGTTTGTCAATACCATCACTTTGGGAACTGAGGCAGGTAGTGCCTAGGGGGTTCTTTTCCAGATGCCAGAGCTCTGGAATCAAACAGGAGACTTCTGCCACTCCAGTTGTATCAGGATATTTTGGCTTCAGAGTATTAAAATCCTGACTCTAACGGGGTCAAAGCATAAGTCGCATGGGAAGTTTGGAGCAGGGATTATTCTTTTAGCAGTTCAAAATGCTGTGAAAGACTCAAGTGTTGTCCATCTCTCTGTTCTGCCATCATTGAATGTCATCTTATCCAGGCAGGGTAATGTGTGAGGAAGACAAGAGTGCTGCCATTCTTTTCCTAGACTTGCGCCAGCAGACTTCCTCCAGGGTCTCAGGGGCCATTTTGGGGTATACATGCATTGTTGAACTAATCTTTGGTGAGGGAATGAGATTATGCACAACAATAAGGCTTGATCCTGAGCCTAAGGGGTGGAGTGTATCCTTTTCTCATGAGGTATGTGGACTGCTTGGGGAGTGGCAATCATCTCAACAATACTGAGGTTCTTTTGGGAGGGGAGAAGGAGAGGAAGTGTTGTATATTTCATCTATTGTTCCTATGCTTAGAAGCAGAAGCTAATGGGATTGCTAAAGCTTTTCTTTTAAGTTTTGTACTGTGTGGTCTGATAAGTAAAGACTAGTTTAAGATTCTAGAGGTTGATGAGCAGACTGGAGACCCATACAGTTACAGTCCTTTGGATTAAGTCCAAGCTTCTGCTCAAGAGCTTGGGGAGGAGCTCCTGTTTCAGCACGTGGTGCCTGCTGCTGTTCAAGTGGGAGACCCAGAGGGGGAGAGTCAGTCGGGCTCCTCTTTTAGCTGTTTTAATCCCATGCCCTGTCTTTAGAGAAGTGCAATCTATTCTGCAGAGCCCATCTCATTCTGTGTGTTTCTTTATTGCTTTATCTTACCCATCTTTTCCAAAGCCTAAGAAAAAAAGTTTAGGGATGGTTTGGGAAGTTGAGAGAGGAAGGGAGTGAGTTGTCAGAATGGAGGAGTCGGGCAGCTTTCCATTTCTTGTTTACTTCCGCTATATGCTCTGTTTGTGATGACCAAAGTAACTTGTGCCTTTTATATGATTCTCTTTGGAGCTTTATTATGTCCCATGACAGGCTGAGACTAAGAATAGATGAGATAATGTAAATGAAGAAATGTTCAAAACTTCACAGCCTCTACACCGTTACAAATTACAACATTTAAGTGTGGGTGAAATGTGAGGGGTGCATCAATCCAGAAAATGGCATGGACCGTTGGGACTTAGACGTTTGATGATATTTTCCTAATATTTTTGAACATCTTAAACATTTTGTGGTAGATTTTAAAAAAGAGGGCAATCCTTGCTTTTTTGTTGTTGTTTGTACCTTCACAGACCAGCATGACCGATTAAACAGCCAATTTGGGATTCTTCCCTGTCCTCATTCCTTATCTGGTCATTGACCTAATTCTGTCCATTCTCCTTACCACAACCACTAACAGTCTTGGCCCTTATCACAGAACTGGCAAATCCTTTTGTTCTTGAATTATTTCCCTATAATAAAGATGAATTTTTATCTGTCTTTGATGTCTCCAGATAGCTAGCACAAGACCTTACCGAAACTGGAGGAAAATCAATTTTTTTTTTATTTCTTGTTGATATTTTCTTTTCTTCTTTTGGTTTCAGAGTCTGAACTGAAGAATTTTTGTTCCAGAAATATACTGATCATCCTTGGCTTCTCCTGTATCATAGCTGTGATTGCTTTGATTGCTGTGGGGTTGACCCAGAACAAACCATTGCCAGAAAATGTTAAGGTAACTCAAATCTGAGGGGGTCTGGCTGGGATGCAGTGGGGGAAGGGGAAGGAGGGTATGGTAAATTAGAGCATACAGGAGGGGTGGAGATTCTGGCAGCCCAGGAGCAAGTCAATATCCACTGGATTAGGGAGGTAAAATGGAGTGATGCTCACGGCAGAAGAGGGAATGTCTTGAGTCAATTGGTGGTAGAAAGATAATTATCTTTATGCTTGTTCAGTGATAATTGTTAGTACTTTGAGAGAAACAAATACTTTATTCACTACATCCAGATATTATGTGATGCTATTTTGTGCTGATATTCTATGACTTAGTGTTATCTCTACTTTTTTTTTAAAGATTTTATTATTTATTTGACAGAGAGAGATCACAAGTAGGCAGAGAGGCAAGCAGAGAGAGAGGAGGAAGCAGGCTCCCTGCCGAGCAGAGACTCAATCCCAGAACCCTGAGATCATGACCTGAGCCGAAGGCAGAGCCTTAACCCACCGAGCCACCCAGGCGCCCCATGTTATCTCTACTTCTTATTCATTGTTTCACTGTGGCTCTGTCACAACACTGCACTCTTTGATCTTCTTACTCAATCATCATTACTATACCAAAATAATTAAATTTGTTAGAAAGCATTACATAAAGTAGTTTGGAAGTCAAAGATTATGAAGAAAATTTTTTCCTCTTTTTCAGAATATTAAAGAAAGCAGCAAAGTCAATGAAAAAAAAACACAGAGAACCACATACATGTATCCAATATAGTGATTTGAAATTAATTCATGGGTAGACATATTTCTTCAAAATTTCCACATTTGAAGAGCTAGTTAATATCATTAAAAATAATTAGGGGTCATTAACTTTGCTGTGATATATTTCTACTTCCTTCCAAATTCACCAATGTAAAATTTCAAAGACATGAATATGTTACAAATAGCTTGTAATGTCACTATTTTATTTAATCTTAGTTAAAAAGCATGTGAAAAATTTAAGTTTATGTTGTAAATGCAAGATTTTAAACTTTCATTGAAATTAAATAAATGTATAAGTAAATAAATCTAAAAGGGCCCAGAATATACCAATTTGCTAATGTTGTACATATTGGCACAAATGTACACGTAGATGATGACATGTCTAGAAGTTCACTTGACCATGGAGGCTCTAGAATACATGTGCAGAAGTTTATTTTCTTGTATTTGAAGACACCAAACTGTGAGACTGGAATGACGGATGCATATGCCAGGCTTCTAAAGCTTTTGCCATCCACCCAAATCAGTCGCTATGTAGTAGAGGTCTGGATGTTACATTGACATTCCTTTGTGACATGAACTCAACTCAGTATTGCTGTGCACAGCAACCCCTTTGTCAGCTCAGAAGGCTGATATTATCTCATTGTCAATGGTCTCTTGCCGTTTAATATTGAGTGATGTTGGCTCTCTTGGCAAAACTTCACTCACAGTTGAAGCCTCGTGACATCTTGGTTCTGCTATTTGTTTACCAGCTCCAAAAGTACATGATTGCCTTCTTCTTGATTTGACCTTTTTACATGTTCATTATTGCATCATTGGAGAAGGGGACTGCCTAGGAGGCAAAATCGATGACAGACTTGAGCTCTGTGTTCCCAGTGAATACTTCTGGTCATGGATGACTTTCCTGCATTTGTAGCGGTCATCATTGACTCTGTTGTGATTTTATCTTGTGTTGGCCCCAGAAAATGGAACAGGTCTTTAAATAAGAGGTATGAGGGGATGCCTGGGTGGCTCAGTTGGTTAAGCGGCTGCCTTCGGCTCAGGTCATGATCCCAGAGTCCTGGGACCCCACATCGGGCTCCTTGCTCAGCAGGGAGCCTGCTTCTCGCTCTGCCTCTGCCTGCCACTCTATCTGCCTGTGCTCACTCTCACGCTCTCTCTCTCTCTCTGACAAAAAAATAAATAAAATCTTAAAAAAAAAAAAAAGAGGTATGAGTATTTGAAGAGTAGATAGTGGCATATGAAATGGATCTTCATAGCAATATCACTGGTTTATTTTACACAAAGATCACTTTATATATGCAAAGTAGTCATTTATTAAGATCATATACTAATTTTAATAAGATTATTGGCAAATATTAAGGACAAAAATATTTTAGGAACTTGTCTTTGGTGATGGCTTTAAGCTACGTATACTTAATTTCATAGTCACTAGCCATATGTAGCTATTTCAACTTAGGTTAATTAAAATAAAATAATATAATATAATATAATTTTGTTCCATAACTGCACTAGCCACATTCCAAGCACTCACTCAATAGCCTCACATGGCTGGTGGATACTAAACTGGACAATGCAGACTTAGAACATTTCCACTGGGGCAGAAAGCTCAATTGGACATTGCTGCTTTAGAGCATACTCTTTGATAATATCCTCGAAATCATTTAAAACCAAGTTTGAGGAATAAGGTATATGATAAAACATTATAAAATCCAAAATAAGGAAAAAGAAATGAGACTTTTTCTTGTGTGGTTTGTAAACCAGTACCAGGATCATCCCAGATATCACGAACTACTAACGGGCTTTGAGTAGTTTGTTGAAATAAATTTATTTCCTTTCAAAAATGATGATTTAAACGATAATACTTATTTCAATATTTGTACCTGGTACATTTGTTTTAAAAACCTATAACATCGTGGGGCACCTGGGTGGCTCAGTGGGTTAAAGCCTCTGCCTTCGGCTCAGGTCATGATCTCAGGATCCTGGGATTGAGCCCTGCATCGGGCTCTCTGCTCAGCAGGGAGCCTGCTTCCTCCTCTCTCTCTGCCTGCCTCTCTGCCTACTTGTGATCTCTCTCTCTCTCTGTCAAATAAAGAAATAATTTTTTTTAAATTAAAAAAAAATAAAAACCTATAACATTGAACTTCCAGGGAAGGTAGTGGAGTAGGAGGACCCTAAGTTCTCCTCATTCCATGGAACACGATAGTATCCACATCAGTGTAAATAACCCAGAAAACGATTTGAAGACTGACAGAAGAGACTCTTCACAGCTAAATGTAGGGAAGAGGCCATCTCAAAGAGAATAAGAAGGGTGGAGACACATTTGGAAGTTAAATGGACCTGTCTATAGTGGGGAGGAACGATACGGGCATGGAAAGGGGAGAGGACAAGACCATCACACCAAGTACCTCAGGTGCACAGGGATTCTGCATGAAACCAGAGAGGTTTAACTTCCTGAGTTCTTAAAATCAGCAGGGATTAATATCTGGAAATTTGAAAATTAGTGGGCTCAGTTCTGGAAAAGTCAGGAAGATGAGAGGAAAACAGCACCCTTAAACAGCCCTGTGGAGACACAGCATAGAAGTAGCAGCTTGAAAAGCACCTGGGGTGTGCAGGAGGGAGATTTGTTTACTAATCTCAGAGCATGTGCTTGGAGGGGCAGGGATCACTGGGAGACTTCTCCAGGAACAAAGGAGCTAGTGGATGCCATTTCCTTCCTCCACCGTCCAGCATAAACACATGGATACCTGTGACCCAGCACTTCTCCAACAACACTACCTAACTTGCTAACAGCCTGCCCCACCCTGTGTTCTCCTATGGACCTGCTGGTACCAACCAGGCCTCACTCCAGGTCTTCTTTCACTACAGACCTTACTAATACCACCCACACTGCCCCCAAGTGCTTCTTGAGATCCACTCCATCCAATCCAGCCAGCCTTGGTTCTGGTGGCTACAGGTCCCCTTTCACAACAGCCCTAAGCAAACCTTGCTAGCACTGTGTGCCCCCCCGCCCATCCCCGCATTCCTGCATTCTCCCATGAACCTGTCCCCTCCAGTATGCCCTTGGCCAAAGCCTATCCAAAGTGGTGCCACAAGCCCGACAGTATGCAACCAGCCCTGACAGGCCAGCACCACTCCAAAGTGACTCCTGTCCTGGGGACAGTGGAAGAGACCACACTACACACACCATACAGACCAGTCTGATTGTAGCACCAGCAGTGGGCTGGCACCTGATGTCTGGTATGACTGCAGGTCCTGGCCACCTATGAAAGCCTCTCAAAAGACAACACACACAAAAAATGCCCTATAGTTGGTGTTACCGCATCTCTGGCAAACTCCTGGTCTGACTCAACTCAAGCTGAAAGTGGCCCAAGACTGGCCCACTAACAACACAGGGATCAGACCCTGCCTATAACAGGCAAAGAGAGCCATCACAGACAGCTGGACTGAAGGCAAGAGTGGCTCAGCCACAACAGCGGGACACATACATCACATATAGGAGATACCCCTGAAGTGCCAGGTTCTGGTAAACTGTGCAGTAAGGCACTACAGGACTTCTTCATAAGGCCATTACTGTCAAGTAAATGAGACATAGCTATCTTTCTTAACACAGAGAAACAGATGCAGAGAGTTAGACTAAGGGAGGAGACAGAGGAATATATCCCAAATGAAAGGACAGGACAAAATCACTGCAAGAGAGCTAACAAATAGAGATAAGTAATATGCTTGTAGAGAATTTGAAGTAATGGTTATAAAGATACTCACTGGACTCTTAACAAAGAGAAAACCAAAAAGATGGGCACCTCGGTGGCTCAAGTGGTTGAACAACCAGCTCTTGGTTTTGGCTCAGGTTGTGATCATAGTGTTGTGATATCAAGCCCTGTATCAGGCTCTGTGCTCAGCTCAGAATCAGTTTGGGATTCTCTCTCTCTCCTTCTCCCTCTGTCCCTCCCTGTGTTCTCTCTCTCTTTCTCTCTCTCTCTCTTTCAATAAATAAATAAAATCTTTACGGAAAAAAAGGAAAACAAAAATGAACCAGAGATGAAGTACTCAATAACTCAAATTAAAACTACATTAGATGGAATAAATAGTAGACTGGAGGAAGAAGGAGAATGGATCAGTGACTGGAGCACAGAGTAATGGAAAGCATCAAGCTGAACAGGAGCTAAGAAAGAAATAATTAAAAATTAAAAAACAGGGAACTCAGTGACACCATCAAGCATAAAAACATTCACATAATAGGGGTCCCAGAAAGAGAAGAGAGGG